AACCTCTCTGCTGAACCTACCTCACAGGGTTGTTGTAAAGAAAATAATTGTGCAGGCCTTTAACAGATAAGTGGAATGAAATGAGGTTTTAGCTGTAAGATGCCTTGAGTCCCTGTCAGGGGAAAGCAACGGAAACTAAGAATGATTAGGAACATAGCAGACAGCAAAACCTATTTAACTCAGTGGGAGCTGGTTGAAGTTAAATCCTTCGAAGACAGAGGTCATTTGGCTGGGTTGGGACGATATGGGATTGGGGGGGCAACTCCCATCTCTTGCGGGGGCGCAATTAGTGCCAGCACCATCCGTTAAGAGTTTGGGTGTAATCTTCGACACCTCCCTTTCCATGGAGGCGCAGATTGCAGCTATAACAAAGGCGGCATTTTTTCATCTCCACCAAGCTAAGCAGTTGGCTCCTTACCTCTCTCGCCCTGACCTAGCCACTGTGATCCTGTTATGTACTGAAGTTCTCACCCTGGGCCAGCAGGGGGATACTGTAGATAGTATTCACTCAGATAGTATGCAAATAAGGGATCAAAAGTGACATTCAATGATTGGATAGTTACAGAAAATGGTTACTATTGCGTTGTAGTGGAGCTCTATATAAGCAGGCTGGCTGAACCCTTCAGTCCAGTTCTGTTCTGGCCTGAGAATAAACAAGAGCTGTTTGAAGAATCACTGTGTCATCTGATATGTTCACCCACAACTTGACAGATCCACGTGACGGTCACCTCCAGACTGGATTATTGTAACTCGCTCTACGTGGGGCTGCCCTTGAGACTGACCCAGAAACTCCAGCTGGTGCAGAATGCTGCGGCGAGACTCCTTACGAGGTCCTCGCCTCGGGATCACATTCACCCAGTGCTATACCAGCTGCACTGGCTCCCAGTGGAGTACAGGTTCAGGTTTAAGGTGCTGGTTTTAGCCTTCAAATCCCTATACGGCCTAGGACCCTCGTACCTATGGGATCGCCTCTCCTGGTATGTCCCATGGAGGACCTTACGGTCTTCAAACAAAAATATCTTGGAGATCCCGGGCCACAGGGAGTTTAGGCTGGCCTCAACCAGAGCCAGGGCTTTTTCGGCCGTGGCCCCGATCTGGTGGAACGCTCTGTCACAAGAGACCAGGGCCCTGCAGGACTTGACATCTTTCTGCAGGGCCTGCAAGACAGAGCTGTTCCACCAGGCCTTTGGCCAGAAATCCTTTGGTAATTCTTCACAGAACACGAGCCCAATGGTTGCCATCAATTTGATTTGAACTGATTTTATAATGAATTGATTTTAGAATGCTGTATTATTTTACTGTTGTTAGCCGCTCTGAGCCCGGCTTTGGCTGGGGAGGGCGGGATATAAATAATTTTTGTTGTTGTTAGTGCTGAGTAAAAAAATGCTTAGGATTGCAGTGTAAGGCTGCCTAGTCTTTACCCACTTACCTGGGAGTCAGCTCCATTGAATACAATGGGACTAACTTCTGACTAGACAGTGGGTGGATCTACACACAGGGGAAAACCCTCCCTATAAATAAGTCAGAAATTAAATCGTTATAACAAAAGAAGAAAAAACCCTATGTAAAAATGCTATAGAATCTTTTCTGCTCTCTGGCGCCATCTGGTGTTGCATGTTTATAATGCATTCAAATCACTGTATTTTGACTAATGTAACTGAGTCCAGCGTCAGGCTCCATTTACAATAAAGGAATAAACACTCTCCACAATTAAATAATTTAAAGTGGATTGGTAACCTTTTCCTTTAAAAGTATACGACGGGCTTTGTATGCCAGTTTCACCATTTCCTTCATTTGGTGCAGGTATTCTTTTTTCCGTATAAACGGGACCCTAATTCTAGGACTGTCCGTGGAAAATATAGCACTTTGGGGGTATGTGTTTTTTAGCACCTCAGTAAAGGCTTAAGTTTTAAAAATGCTTCTGTCAGTTGAATACTCTTGTGTCAAGTTGTATAAATGCTCCAGTCAGGAGTTTTATCAATAATATGCATTCCATTCATATTATAATTCCAGCTTGTGTACAGAAACCTTAACACAGGAGATTTACTTCCATTGTTGTCATGCATATTTCAGAGCCTGCAGATGTTTAGAATACACAAGGTAATTCTCAAAGAGAAATTCCATGACAGGAAGTCAATAGTTACCTGACCACTTTGCAAAAGGTTATGTGTTCAAGCAGTGCTCTGGGGAATTGTTACAAACTGGGATGACATTATCAATGACTTCTCGCTACAAGGGAGATATTACTTCTGCTTTTCGGTTTGGAAGGAATCTTTCTGGGACTACGAAGTCTCAGAACACTTTCTTGCCCATCACTCATTCGTGGATGAAGCAGCAACTTATGACTTTGCCGCTGATCAAATTCCGTATTTCATATATTTAATAATAATTTTAAAACCTGCAGTTCTAAATACATTATAGTGGTTTATAAAACCAAATAAAGCAATAGAATGGTAATGTACCTAAAACCCAAATATAACCAAACACACACACACAGTCAGCCCAAGACATTTTGCAACCCACCCGTAATTCTACATACAGAAATCACCTGGACTTCACCATCCCCCAGTGTCCCTGAGGGCATCAGACCAGCTTAAGAGGTGCAGGTCAAACTTCATGGCACACACAAAATCTCCATTGTCTAACCGAGAAAAATGGGGGGGAGCAGGATAGGATCATCTGAGGGGACCATAACTGCTGCCTTCTACACAAACACCACCAGCTGAGGCAACCACCTCACTCTGTCTAATGGTAGAGCCACCCTTAATATTACACAGCAAAATTATTATTATTATTATTATTATTATTATTAGCTGAAGGGCAGGTAAGAACTACTACATATATATGGGGAACGCAACTGCCAGTGTAGCATGCAGTCAGGATCAGAGGAACCGCTTCCCCCTTCACACTTTGCCTGAGATTTTCTCTTCTGAAAATTTAACAGAAAACCAGCTGGACAACGTCGCAAGTCCTCAGTGGTCTTTCAACTCTCCCTGTCAGCAAGGGCGACTGCTGTAGGCACTCTGCCGATGTTCACTATGGTTTCCAACTCTCAAACTTCCCCAGAACAATTTGGAAACGTGAATTAGTTTCTGGACCCAATGCAGAGTGCTGGTTTTGATCTATGGAGCCTTAAATGGCTCAGGACTGCAATACCTCAAGGACCGCTGTTGGAATGAATCCACGACAGACGAGTGGCAGGTGTCATATGAGAGGCGTCTGCCGGGGCAAGCCCCGGGAACTCTCTTTTATTGAATATTACAAACATTGCCACAGGTGTGCTTGTGGCTGATTGGTTGATACAAACACAAAGCAACTTGTTGCTGATTGGTTAACATAGGTACAAGGCGGGAATTACATATGAGCATTAATCACCGATAGATCAAAGGCTGAGAAACGGAGCTGGAACTAGACAGGCATGAAACCTCCTAATTAAATTATAACTAAAGATTAATATAACATGACTAAAACAATTACTAATGATTGATCATAACATGAAAGAATATAATAATCGAGTTCCGTAGATGTGGTCAGCAATGCATTAAGAACAGGTCAGGGTACACTGTTTCATGAACTCAATGGGAACTGTTCAGAACATTCTCAAACTCATGTGCAGAGGCAAAAACTTCCCAGCATCTCCCCCTTTCTTTTCTTATTTGCGAGGGCTTACTCTATGATTTCTGGGTGAATAAGGCAAAAATACTTCGGGATTAGTGGTTTGCCAGCGCATGCCCAAAATAAGTTCGCCAGGGTCGATGGGACAAAAATATTTCGGGATACGTGGTTTGCCAGCGCATGCCCAAAATAAGTCTGCCCACATCTCCCCTAAAGTTTACTGTTGGTGTTGCCATTTCGCAAAGTAGGCAGCAAGGAGTTTATTGGGTGGCTGAGGGGGAGAGAGAAGCCGAGAGAAAAGACTTATGAGGCCAGGAACGCATTGAAGGAAGCAACATAGCAAAATTAATATACATATTATGACAATGGCATATTGAAAAAGACTACGAAGCCAAGTAAGGTTAGGCAACCAAGCGGTAAGCCACTGGGTGAAAGAATCCCAGAGGCCAGAAAATCCAACGTCCTGTTTGATGTGGTGTGTAAGATTTTGCAGATGAGAGATTTGGCTTTGAATGGCTCTAGAATTGTCAGTAATATTGAAACAACACATGTCATTCACTTGTTCACAGCCATAATGATGAAGCATGAGCAAATAGTGATAGCAGCACAATTTCGTAAAAGTCCATCGTGGAGTTCACTGTTCTTTATTCAAAAGGTGAAGAGCTTGTGAAGTAAAATTCAGGGCTTTTGTTGCAGAATAAGCTAAAAAATTAATGTTCATACGATTCCGTACAGCCAATCCAGGGACTCCTAAGAGAGAAACAACTGAAAAGATATATTCAGACCTACTGGGAAAAGAGACAAAAGCATCACAATCATTAGTCAATTCCACAGAGCGGCGATATCGAGAGCGGGATAAATGATGCTTCTTGGGTAAAATGATGGACAAACGGCTTAAACAGCAGGGTGTTCCATGGCTGATGTATTGTTGGCACATGGTAGGGGAATTCAACATTCCTTGTGGTAGGACTTTCCATTGGTACCGTTCCGTGGGCTGACTGTTATTTAACACAGGAACAGTAAAAGCAAAGAATTTACGATCCTTCTCCTGTAGGGGAATGGAGAAGAAACAGTCTTGCAAATCTATTATAGCCAATTGATAAGAATGTGGAATCACATTTGGATTAGGCAGACCACACTGCAAAGGCCCCATGGGTTCAAGGATCTGGTTTATTTTCCTTAAATCCTAGAGAAATCTCCATTTGCCACTCTTCTTTTTTATGATGAAGATGGGTGTATTATAGGGGCTAACTGAAGGCTCAGTATGGTCTGCCGATAATTGTTCATTCACTAATTGTTTTAAAGCAAGTAGCTTTTCTCCCGTTATGGGCCATTGTTCCACCCATACAGGACTGGTAGATTTCCAGCTGAGGGGAAGTGCAAGCTTACTCATTAAATTGAATGGTAGCTTGTAATTGCTGTAGTAAGTCTCTTCCCCACAGATTGAGGTGGATTTTCAGCACACAGGGCTGGATGTATGCAATGGTTTCAGAGCTATCAGGCAGAGAAACAGGCAGCCACTGTACGCTTTTGGAAGAGGTTTGGGGGCCACCCACACCCCAGACTGCAGAAGCAGACTCAAGGGGCCACGTGGGGTCCCAGCAATTACTAGAAATTACAGAAACGTCTGCGCCCGTGTCAATCAAGCCTTCCAGCACAATACCATTGATTTTATACTTACGAAGAAGTTTCTTTTCACCAATCCTCTGGACTACAGCTAACAGCTGTGGAGGGAAAGAAGAGAGCTCGTGCAAATTACTATCCATAATAGAAGCAGTAGGATGAGAAGGGAGCACCACCAAATGCGCCCAGGACTCACCCTTTTTTAACTGCATGGGCATATGGCTCCAGAGTTGAACCATTATTGTGCCCACATAGTCAGGATCCAGAACTCCAGGAATAACCTGGATTCCTTCTTTTGCCGCAGAAAATTTGGGTAAAATTAAACCTGCGACTTTAGGAGGCAGTGGGCCTGCCAATTGGGTGGGCATAAGCACAATTTCACCAGGTAAAACAGAGTCTTTGGTCTCTTGATTGATCAAATCAATGGCAAATTCAGAGGGTGTATTTTTGGAAAAGTTTTCAGCAGCGGAAACTAAAGGTGGAAAACTCTCTAATTGCCCTGGCCCGAGAGTGGGGCCGCAATGGAGTTTCCCGGACTCCTGCATTGATTAGCCCAATGATAGCCTTTTCCACATTTCGGGCATTTTTTAGAAGGTCTAGTCTTGTTGGCAGCACCATCCTTGTTGGCCCCCCCGCCAGGGGCTCTGCATTGCTTGGCAAAATGGCCTGGGCGTTTACAATTAAAGCAATTACCTGTAGGTCTATTGGTAGCTTGGATTGCGCCGGCAAGCAAAGACATCGCATGGCTCTGGCTACTGACATCCGCACAAGCTTGAATCATATCGGCCAGGTCATATTTAGGGCGATGTATGATTGACTGCAATGCTTTCTTGCAATCGGTGTTTGCGTTTTCAAAGGCCAATTTTTTCATTAATTCATTTTGAGCTGTAGTGTTATCAATCTGCCTAGTGACTGATTCTTTCAATCTATCTATAAACTGATGGTATGGCTCCGAATGCTGTTGCTTAATATTAACAAAGGAGCTCAGCGGTTGCCCTGAAACAGGGACTTTCCGAAAGGCGCGTTGTACACAGGTCGCGGTGCGACTAAAATGTACAGGTGTCAGCGTCGCCTGGGCTGGTATATTATCATACTGACCCGCGCCATAAAGTTGACTGGCTGTATGCTGCGGATCAGACAGGGCTGATGCGCTATGTTTAAATTCACTCTCAAACACCACATACTGAGCTGGGGATAAAAGCATGCGCATCAGGTCTTTCCAGTCTTGAGGTAGCATTGTGTAACCAGTTGCTATTCCTTCTAGCATTCCTGTTACATAAGAGGATTTTAGACCAGAATCAGTAATGGCTTTCCTTAATTCCCTCATTACAGAATAAGGAAGTGCCTCATAAAAACCTGCTGTTGAGCAGTTCCAGGGTTTGAATAGGTGATAGGGAAAGCAGACGGCATTTCACCAGGCCACTCAGATTCCTCCTCTAAGGACAGGAGCCCTTTCTGCCTGGCCAAAGAAAGCGCAGCGCGCACAGCTCCTATAGAGCAAACAGGGGCTGTGGCAGGCGGAGGAGGGATGGGGGCAGTATGCAGGCTGAGGCGGAGGGATGGGGGGGGAGGATGCAGGCTGAGGCGGTTGAGACGCAGGGAGGGATTGGCCGGGCTGCAAAGGAGAAGGAGGCAAAAGCTTTGGGTAAGGTGGGGGATTGTCTGCAATGGCTAGAAGGGCAGGGGCCGAGGGAGACACCTGGGGTCCCAATTGGGGCCCTAATTTAGCAACGGCATCTGCACATTTCTGCCAAGTGAGCAGACAATGAATCGGAGCCCTTGGTTCTGTAAAAAGGGTCTTTCCGATCTTTTGCCAAGTCTCTACTTCCAAAGAACCAGTCTCTGGATAGGAGGGGCACTGGCAGGCAATCTCACATAACAATTGTTCAATTTCTTTTAAGGAAATATTAACACCCACCGCTCGCTGTCTAACTAAATAAAGCAATTCTTTAGCATGCTCTTTTTGGAATTTAGTCAATTCCCCTCCCATACTCACAAAGTAGCGCGCTGAGACTTTTCCAGTCGAGCGAAGTATGAGGGCTGGCTGCGTAAGGGATCTGGCACGTCGGGGTCACCAGATGTTGGAATGAATCCATGACAGACGAGTGGCAGGTGTCATATGAGAGGCGTCTGCCGGGGCGAGCCCCGGAAACTCTCTTTAATTGAATATTACAAACATTGCCACAGGTGTGCTTGTGGCTGATTGGTTGATACAAACACAAAGCAACTTGTTGCTGATTGGTTAACATAGGTACAAGGCGGGAATTACATATGAGCATTAATCACTGATAGATCAAAGGCTGAGAAATGGAGCTGGAACTAGACAGGCATGAAACCTCCTAATTAAATTATAACTAAAGATTAATATAACATGACTGAAACAATTACTAATGATTGATCATAACATGAAAGAATATAATAATCGAGTTCCGTAGATGTGGTCAGCAATGCATTAAGAACAGGTCAGGGTACACTGTTTCATGAACTCAATGGGAACTGTTCAGAACATTCTCAGACTCATGTGCAGAGGCAAAAACTTCCCAGCAGACCACCCCTCCCCATATGAACCTACCCAGACCCTGAGATCGTCCTCCGAGACCCTTTTTTGTGTGTTTTCTCCATGCGAGTCCCAGAGGGCAGCAACATGAGAATGGGCCTTTTCTGCAATGGTTCCCCTTTGGGGAATGCACTCCCCAGGGAGGCTTGCCTGGCACCTTCCCTATAGACATTCTTTAAAACATTCCTCTTCAACCAGGCCTTTGGCTGATTAACAACCTATATGCTTCCCATATGTACCGTCTTTCCCCGAAAGTAAGACATCCCCCGAAAATAAGACCTACTTCCAGTTTTGCCTCTCGCTGTAATAAGGCATCCCCCGAACATAAGGCCCCCCTGGAATATAAGGCCCCCGAAGCTACCGTAAGGCGTCTGACTCCTCTGGACTGTAGCAGCGGGTGCCGCCGCACAGCTCACTGATTGGCCGCAGCGGAGCCGGAGCTGTTCAGGCAGTGCGAGGTCTCTTTAAACCAGAGAGCCCATGCTGCCACCAGGACAAGTTGCCACCTGCTGCTCGCTGACTCACAATTAGACAATAAATGTGTACCAAATTCTTCTTCATGAAAAAATAAGACATCCCCCGAAATTAAGACCTAGCACAGCTTTGGGAGCAAAAATGAATATAAGACACTGTCTTATTTTGGGGGAAACAGGGTAATTGTGATGTTGGAAGGGACTCCATGAAATGCAGTTTTTACCCTAGTTGGGGCTTGAACCCACAACCCTCTGACTAAGAGTCTCATGCTCTACCAACTGAGCTATCGCAGAAACACAAATGTGTTTGTGCAGGGTGGCAATGGTATTGTATTGTATTGTATTGTTTTTGTTCTTGTGTTTTTGTCATATATTTTAATTTTGTGAACAGCTCTAAGATAATATGCAGGGCAGTACAGACAACAGCAGATTAACGTGTGTCCAAATGACATGCATGACACTGAACCCAGAAGTGACCCGAAAACCTCACTAAATGCATCACTAAAGGGGGGGCAATAACAAAGCGGGGTGCACTTATACGTGCTCTGCCAACACACCCAGGTCCTGGGAACGGAACCCCCATGAGAAATGGCTGTTGAATGTATACAAATTTAATTAATACAAATTAAAAATGAAATAGTATATTCAGCAAATGTTAGAATTCTTGTATCTGGCATTGTTGTAGTCTTGTCGCAGAGCTCACAAGGGACTCACAAGGAGAAGGGGACAACAGAGGACGAGATGGTTGGATAATGTTCTCGAAGCTATCAGCATGAGTTTGACCAAACTGTGGGAAGCAGTGGAAGACAGGAGTGCCTGGTGTGCTCTGGTCTATGGGGTCACGAAGAGTCGGACACGACTAAATGACTAAACAACAACAACAAAGCCTCACTGTATTAAATAGAGCTTACTCCCAGGTTGGTGAACATAGGATTGCAACTCTGGATTTTTCTTCCTTGTCCTAACATAAAATGTATCATTTCTAGAACAATTCCACCCATTTATTATCCTTCCTCATTTCCGGAAACCTCAGGGTGGGGTACATGGATGCATCACCCACCCACCCATTTTATCTTCACAAGGTAAGGTAAATTAAGCTGAGAAATGGTGATTGGTCCAGGACCACTGGTAAGGTGGTTTGAACCTGGGTCTCCCCCAGGGTCCCAGACTCCAACCACCACACTACAAATGGAGGACAAGTTATGTAGAACATCTACAAGGAATTAATTTTCTCTCCCTTTTAATGCCTAAAAGATAAAGGCGAAAAGAAATGGATATAATCCAGTGAAATAGGAAGATTAGATTGGGTTAGCAAATGAATTTGGTTGCTTTTTTAAACCTACACATAGCAAACAAGGCCTCAAAGGAGAATAGAACTAATGATAAGTTGGGCCTTATCACCTTGTGTAGGTTTCAGTAGGCATCATAAAGTATGAAAAATAGAAAGCAGTGCTATTGGTCAAATCTAGGAGAGTGCTTAATGGGGAGTGGAAAAGAGAGAAAAACAAACCACAATGGCCAGTTATTTTAGCGCGTATTACATGTTGAGGATTTATTCCACAGAGAGAGAGAGGATAAAGGCTTCTTTGGCAAGAGTGAGTTACAGAAACATAGAGAAAGGTACGATGTAAATTGAGCATCATAAGGGGAAATGCAGCTATTATAGTGAGTCAAAAGCAATGGATAAAACCTGGCAATATGACCATTTTCTGGATTCGCTGGAAGCATTTATCATGTGGAATGGTAGGGAAGCTTCCTTTCGCTTAAATGAAAATTAAATCTGCCATTTGCCACAATGTAAATGCTGCTTCAGCAGAGCTCATCGGATTGCCATTAATGCGCTATTCAGAATAGCGACATCATTTATGATCACATTTTCTAAATGAGCCTTGCATTCTGCTTTTGGAGACTTTCAGACTCTCATTTTCTTTTTATTTGCTGCCCAATTCTAGGCACCCCTAACTGGGAAGGAAGGCCTGCTAAGTTCAACAGGACTGGCTCCAAAGCAATGAGTATAGGATGGGAGTCTCAGGATATGTATACATGTCACAGTGCATTTTTTTGTTTAATTTCAACTTTTCTTCCTTGTCCTGATGCATTACGTTGTGTACACATTACTCCAGCTACAGTGTAATCCTGTAGTTTCTTGGGAAATACTGCTGACTGATGTGGTTTCCATCTAATTTGAAAACATAAGCTGCCACTCCAGCCAGAAAAGCATCTCTAGAGGGTTGGGTCTGTTGTAATACATAGTTACTGACTTACACTTGCATGCACAAAACAGTTAACCCAGGCATGGGCAAACTCGGCCCTCCAGATGTTTTGGGACTACAACTCCCATCATCCCTAGCTAACAGGACCAGGGGGCAGGGATGGTGGGAATTGTAGTCCCAAAGCATCTGGAGGACCGAGTTTGCCCATGCCTGGGTTAACCTGATCCCAGAGCTCAGGTTGCAAGTGGGTGTGACTTAGCAGGCTCTTAGCAGACTTGGCTCCCTTCCCCTTCTCAGTCTTTTCCCTTCCTGCTGCCTGGAGCAAGCAAGAAGCCATGTGGCCACGGCTCCCTTCAAAATGAACTGAATCTTTCTAAAATGAGATTTTAAAGCCTGCATCTTAACCCAAAGGTTGCGTGTTCCTTTTGTAGAGAAACCAAGTAATTTGCCTTTTAAAGCCATTTGGAACTTTTTTCATCTTCATTTTACTGCCAACAAATGGAGATTGGTTTGCTTTTACTTCTGAAACTCTGAGTAAAAAACTTCACTTATTACTTTTGCAAAGCTAAGTGTCTGTGATTTACTCTAGCCTAAGTATTTTCATAGGGAATACTTGTTTAATAGCGGATGAGGGCGGATTCAGATCTAACCAAATGCTAATATGCTTGGAGCAACCATGGTTAACTCTGCTACTAGAGAGTAAGAGATCTATTTTCTAACCTCTCTCTCTAACAGGAGCCCTTCCTGGGCGATGTAGGATGGGACAGGAAGCTTTCTGGGAGAGGGGAGAATTATTCAAAAGTGAACAGACCGCAGCCCAATTGGGGTGAGTCTCCCTTTCCCTTGCAGCCACCCGTGCCCCATCTCACGCTGTTCTGGAGGGGCCCTTCCTTCATTTAACTTATATTAGATCCAAGGCAATGTCTGATTATTATTATCTGTGGTCTTTGCATGAATGCCAATATTTTTATGCTAGAAACAGTTCTGTTGAACTGCTAGAATAAACATTAACCATTCCCTGTCACA